GCCCGATCCACCACTCTTTGGTTGACCGTGCCAAGTGCCAAGTGGAAGTGTTGATGCTTTCGAACTGGAGCCAATCTTTTATTATTTTCCAAAGCCTAGTAGTATACCGGCATCTGAAGAGGAGGTGATCGATGGACTCTTGCACGCGCTTGCAAAGAGGACAGAGCCCACAATTGGGCCACCCCCGGTTGGCCAACCGGTCAGCAGTCCATACCCTATTTTGCATGGCCAACCACGCGAAAAATTTGACCTTGGGCGGGGCCCAGGCCTTCCACACTGCAAGCTCCATGGGTGAGCGGATGATGCCCAAAAACTAGGCCAAGTAGGCGTACTTGGCACTGTAAATCCTGCTCTATGTGTGTTTCACACAATGTCATCTTCAACGTGCACCTCAAGAGGGAAGTCGCGGATGATGGACCAAAGCTCAATAAATTGTCGAAGATGTTCGAAGGTGAAGTTGGGAGTGACCTTGATCTTGCGAACCCAAGCATCATCTTGGAGGGCTTCCCGAAGTTTCCATGTCTTACGAGAGGAAGCGGCGTAGATAAGCAGTGCAATGCCTCTTGGCTTGCGGTCCCGCACCCAAGAGGAGTCCCAGAAGGGCGTGCGCGCACCGTTGCCAACGGATATGGTCGTTGAAGCATAGAAAAGATTTTTGTCCATCTCGCCGCATGGATTGCCGGTCCCAACCCATAGCTTGGTGGGTTCCTTCGATTCAAACCAAAGCCAACGCAAGCGAAGTGCCCTTGCAAATTTCTCCGTGTTTAGAACCCCAAGACCTCCATATTCGACCGGTCGACATACAGATTCCCAATTAACTTTGCACTTCGCGCCGGTAGTCTTATCTGTTCCCGCCCAAAGGAAAGCTCTCTCAAGCTTGTTGACATTGTGGAGGATGCTTGGTGGAACAATCAATGGGGTGATGAAGTAGATGGCTTGTGAGGATAGCACAGACTTGACAAGGGCAGCCCGACCAATGGCTGTGATATTTTTCCCATCCCAAGGAACAAGTTTGGAAGCGGTTTTGTCCATGAGGAATTGGAAATCCCAAACTTTTAGTTGCCAGACCAAGAGAGGTAGCCCTAGATATTTTATTGGGAATGAAGCCCGGGCAGCAGGAAAGTTCTGGAGGATGGTGTCGAGGTGTAGGTGCCAGCACCGAATCGGGACCACCGAGCTCTTCTGGAAGTTAGTGCATAGTCCCGTGACGTCACCAAACGCATCGAGCAACACGAAGAGGTTGTCAATATCTTTCTTGATGGGTGCAATAAAAACGGCCGCGTCATCGGCATAGAGGGATGTTCTCATGATGGGCCCACGGCCACGAATTTTGTGGAGCAACCCCTTCCTAGTAGCCAGCTCGAGGATCTTTTGAAGGGGGTCAATGGCAATGACAAAATAGCAGGGGCGAAAGAGGATCCCCTTGCCGGAAGCCGCTTCCATGGGCAATGGGGCTGCTGGGGATGCCGTTGAGGAGAACCCGCGAGGAGGAGGTGCATAAGAGGGCGGTGATCCAATTCCGAAAGGTGCTCGGGAACCCCCTCTGCTGGAGGATGTCAATGATATACTCCCATCTCACATAGTCGAAAACCTTTCGTATATCAAGCTTGAAAAGGAGGGATGGAGTTTTGCTCTTGTGAAGGCGACGCGTGAGATTTTTCACATACATAAAATTGTCATGGATACTCCTAGTCTTGATGAAAGCACTTTGCGCGTTGGAGACAAGCTTGTTCATGTGAGGGGCTAGCCGAATTGCTAAAACTTTTGCCACAATCTTCGCAATCGCGTGGATGAGGCTAATAGGCCGGAAGTCGGTGATCCCCTCAGCACCCTCCTTCTTAGGAATTAGTACAATGTTTGCAGAGTTGAGCCAGTGGAGGTTTGCCGTGTGCAGGTTGCCGAAAAGAGAAACTACCCTCATGATGTCATCCTTGATAATGTCCCAACAACTCTTGAAGAACAAACCGGTGAAACCGTCTGGCCCGGGGGCTTTGTCGGTTGGCATTTGCTTAATGGCCTCGTGCACCTCCTCCGCGATGATGGGGTCCGCGAGGGAGTCCAAGTCGTGTACCTCTAAGCCGAGCTCTTCCAATTGAAGTCGCGCGCCCGCGGGAGCCCCTTTCCCATGGCCTCGGTGAAGTGGCCGTGGACAACCTTCTCTTTGACATCATGGTCGGTGATCCATCCCTGATTAAGCAGTGCGCGAGACTGGCCAACATCAAGGAGGGCGATGTTATACATATATTTGTTCGGCTTAAAATAGCAGATATTAGTTTATATCCATTAATGCCCACTTTTCTTTAGAAGAAAAGTTGCATGCAAATATGAATTTGATTTGCTAGTTTGCTGAAGGAAACCAATAAATTTTGAACGTTCGGATTTTAAGCATGACAACCTGAACGTTTTTTATGACAGACTTTATTTGACGCGAGGTGGCAAGTTTAGTTTGTCATAAAAAACGTTCGGTTTGTCATGCTTAAAATCCGAACATTCAGGATTTATTATTTAGGTTGTTGAATGCGTTTGTTGATGTATTCATGTAGTTGTGGTGGCGGCCGGGTAGAGGAACGAAGAAAGAAAGGAAGGAAGAAGAAAAGCTGGTCACTAGGGTTGCGAACAGGTGGGGCCGTGACACGTTTTCATGTTCCATCTCCCTTTTGCAGTAACCACTCCACTACAAAAGAAATGTCTTGACTATTTTTAGTTGATGCGGGTGCCTGAATGTCTTAATCGGGAAAGGTCACGCTACTAGAAGGGGCATCCGGTAGGGCATAAGGGCATCTTTGACACGGACCCTTAAATCGCCTGTAAACGTCTGGATCGATTTGTCCGGACACAGTAAGCAATTCAATGTTGTCCCGCATTTTGTCCATGGACCAGTGTGGGTGTTCGTTATTCCGCAAACCAATGAAGCTTTGTGGGAGTCTGGACACCCCGTCACATAGGATTCTGACACCTTCGGGCCACGCAAAATTGAGATGGGGCCCGTGCATTTGAAGCGGCCGTATTGTTTTCTTGGATAAACTCCCCCTTCTCCACCCTCTCCACTACCATCCCGCCTCTCTCCACACCAATTACCGTCCTTTTCGCTCCGGTCGCCGCATGGACCCATACGAAAAACTTCCAAAGACCAGAGGTGGAGGATCCGGAGAAGGCGGTCACCCAGAAGATCAACTCGACAACATGACAAGCCCGCCGCCTCAATGCGAAGGCAAAAGTCGGGGCAGCCTGCAAAAAGAAGGGTGCAGGGGCGGGTGGGGCCTAGGAGGTGGGGCGCCATCACCATCATGTCCGGAAAAAAACTAGCCTCCCTACTTCTACATTACCAAGTAGCTCAGCCGGCAGTCCCCGGCATCCGCCGTTAGGCATGTGACGTATTGCGTCGACGTCAACACGGTCCCGCTCCATTTTGCAGAGTTTGTGTCGCCGCAACTTGTCCAACCGCGAATGAGGGGCGTGGATTGGCTCGGTGCCTGCTCTCTGTTCACCGGTATGTATCGCCTGGATGAGCCGGCGTATGACAACACAGACTGAGAGATGATGGATCAAGACTCCGACATGAAGGAGGAAAAGAAGGATGAGAGGTTTAACATCTTGATGACAGTATCGCAGAGGAGGCTCAAGCTTGAAGAGAGGAGGGTTGAGCTCTTTTTGTTTGGGAAAAACAAATCGGTATCCACTTTGCTCGAAACTAGGCCAATACCTGTTCATTGCAATATGATATAAATAATCTAGTACGCTAACTCATGATTTACTTGTCCACATTAATATGATTTCTCTCAACTCCACCACAAATATTCTATCATATATTCTAATACTTACCCACCCACCTTAATATTGCGCCGCAAATACAACGCCATTCTCACTGGATGTGTTCTCTCAACTCACCATCTGGCAATCGCCGATCTACAAATGTCCCTCACTCCACCGTTCGTCACCCCCATGTCGTTCCACCCCTTGCGCCACCCTGGATTTCGAACATGTTTGTCCATTCCCTTGTCTTGTGCATGCCACCCCACCCTACGTCCTGCATTTTTTTAGGGTGTGGGAAGATCTTAGTCGACTGAGACTTAACGAAATCTCAATCAAGTGATACAACATATAAAATTTTACATGAATCTTCACGTAAGATGTCATGAATATAACATCGACTGAGAGTTCCTTAAGTCTCAAACTGAGATTTAGCAATCCCCCTTTTTAATCAAAAGAGGGGTTAATCCCTCTGGTTCATTAACGAAACCGAGTTTTACACAAGTTCACCAAATAAAACAAGTCTGACCGATTGCCACCATCTCAACATTTGAGATCAGGCAACTAAAACACATGGCGTTGAATTTTCTTTTTAGATTTCACAAGGATCTTGCACTGAACTTTGTACTAGAAACACAAAGGGCTGAATTCTATATGATTTTTTCCTAAGAATTTATTTGTACTACATCTCATAGGGTTTCTAGCATCCAGTCAAATCTCTTTCAAAGAATCCTTTGTTTTTTCCTATGATGCAATAAAAAACCAAAATTCTATAGGATTGAGAGCATGACATTTCATTCCTACATTTTTCTACTCCCGCATTTTTAAAATTCTACGAATCAAAGACGCCCTACGTTTGCAAGCCTCAAATCGTGGGCCGGTTGGGCGTGTGAGCACCACCTTGCCAACCGAGCTAGGCTCGCTCCTCCTATGCAGGGAGGTCACACATCTGGACAGGGAGCAGAGCGGCAAAGTGTAAAATGTTCTGAACAATATTTGTAATACAGTTTGCGTCATTTATGAAACCTGGACAGTGGACACAGCACAGCAGAAAATCAGGGGATACGATCCTGAACCGTAAAGTTGTGTTTGCCACAACCAATCTACGGCGAGGCAACGAGCAGCTTCACTCTCTCTGGTCTCCTATCATCTTCCCAGCAGATCCTTAACTATTTCCTAAAATATTCAGCAGTCACAAGGACAATGACATAAGTATAAAGCACTGTCCACTGCCGCTCTGCGCTCTCGACTCATTCGTTGGCAGCTTGAAAATGACGGAAAATATCAGGAAGGCGGTAGGTCTGTCCCTCCACATCCTGCAGATTTCCCGTCTTCCGGTGGTATTCGATGCTGTCCAGAAGCGTCTCCTCCAGTGCCCTCGGCTTCCAGCCCAGATCACTCAATTTTCCCGACACGATCGGCGTGATACGAGAGTTCTGATGCACATCAGCCTTGCTGCAAAGAGCAGATAAGAGTCATTCAAACAATAGTAAGAATGTGCCATTTGACACATCCAAGGAACACATGATAAGAGAAGAGACCCACCATTTTACATAGTTGTAGTCAGGGTACCTCTTCTTTAGAAACTCCAGCATAGCCTTTGCGCTAATGTAATTCGGTGCGCAGATATACCTCCCGGATGATTCTGGTTTCTCATATACCAGAAGCAGGGCATCCGCCACATCACGGACATCGACTATGTGCCACAGCATGTCATTCAACACATCAGGACCTCCTGTGATAAAATTTTCAGAACTCACAGAAGTCAATAATTAAAGACAGGTAATTCTCCAACATGCTGTCAAGAGGATGAGGTAAAACAATAGAAACAGAATAAGCAATACACGACATTATTAACTGTCATAACATTAGCCTTCTTCAACATCGCAGATGAGTTTTGGCAGTTCGGTTCTCTGAAGGAAATTAAGGGCGTCCTTAGAGCACAAGATTCTAAAACTCATATACAGAAAAAAAAGTATGATTGAATGTCATGGCTTCTCAAATCATGCAGCAAAAAAAGGAATTTGCAAAATTTCCATAAGGGCGAGAGGAATTTTTCCATGAGGTCTAAGCACATGGAAGAAATCATTCATATTTTTCTATAGATTCAGCTATTCTATAGTTTTGCAAAAAGAAAAGGTATTCTATAGAACGTCCAAAAAAGCATTCTCATAATGTTCCTACAAGCACATTCGCTTTGTGACTAAATAGGAATATTTTCTAAACAAAATAGGAAAATTTTCTATAGGGTTTCAATTCTTCCAAAATTCCTACGTTACCAAGAGGGCCTGACAAGTGGTTTAATGAGTTTCGCCCACCCAAAGAAATGATTCTGTTTTTGTCAGATAAGCGATAATCCTACACGCCAACAATAGAAAGGGAAAAATGAATTAATGAGGGCACCTTTTATGACATAGAGAAGGAGTTCGCTTGTAGTATTGACAACACGTTGCAATTGTGGCCCCAAAACAATACAAGGGCATACTGTAACAGCATTTAGCTCGTTCTTCTCTGCATATTCCCAAACTGTCTCTTCAGCAACAGTTTTAGCAAGACAATACCAGATCTGCCAACAGAAATTGCAAAGCTTTGAGGGCAGCCCTCACATGTTACAACCATTTGTAGTCTCTAAGTAATTATCGACTAATGATGAATATGTTAGAAGTACAAACGTGTTAGTTAGGGATTAAGAGAGATAGAGATAGATTTGGTTTAAACCAACAATGACTTGCCTTGTACTCCAATCCTCTTCCCATGTTGTACTCCTATATATACCCCCATATAAGGGTTAGATCAATACAACAATACAATAATCATCCTACGTTTTCCATATGGTATTAAAGCGGTTAGTCTCACGACGCCGATCCTAGGTTCCTTCCCTACTTCCGCAGCGCGCCGCCCCCGGGGAGATTAATCTTCTCTCCCGGGGGCGCGGCACTCGATCGATTCCGTAGATTAGAACAATTCCTTAGATTAGATCAATTTCAAATTTTGAAATTCCTTAGATCAGTTTTCTTAGCTACAAATAAATCGCGGTGGAAAAATATAGGGTTCCGCAAGATGCTCATGACGGCGGAGCACGAGTTGGATCGATTCGTCCAGCGACCATGAAGCGCATGAAAGGACCCGGCGACTCTACACGCATCTGAGCAGATCGGCTACCATGTTGGTTCATCAAGCCAGCTTCTTCGCGCTCACGTACACGGCAGGAGCGGCGGTCTTCCGAACGAGCCGGCTTCTCCAACAAATCTTGGGCTCGCGCGACGGCGCGGTTCCTCCAAACGAGCCAGCCACCAGCACACACTCGGCGATCTCCCGGGCAGTACACGGCGCGTCCAAGGCTGGCGTCCTCCAAATTAACGAGCCAGCCACCAGCGCACGCTCGGCGACCTCCCAGGCTGTACGCGAAGCGTCCACGGCCGGCGTCTCCGAACGAGCTGGTAAACTGGAGATCCAGCGGCGCAACGCAGGTCCGCCTCCATCCGTGCGTACAAGCAGCGGTCGTACGGAGTTTGGCTATGACGCAGCCAGAGGACGTGTGCCCCAAGAGACGGACATGCATCCATGCGTGCATACCCTATGCACACGGCAACATGAGCTAGGTTCTTCAGGTTCCATGTCATCTCGAGACTACATATGGACCAGGCGATCAACCCGACGCACCAGTGCCTCGATCACGGGAGGGTCTTGCACGCGGCATCGACAGCTTAGCCACACGTCGACACCTTCATCAAGCCGGCTTCCAGCACGGGACATCGGGAGGACACCGGGGGCTACTCCGATCTGAGGTGCTCCCGTGCACGAGTCCAGGACGCGAGTACATGGTGTCCAGAAATCAGGCATGCACGTTGATGTCATGCAAAGCTACGATGGGATCTCCGCGGTGGTTCAGCTTCACGCGGCAATTCTGCTGCTCCGCACAGGTTCGTCATCGACATCCCGTACCGCATCATGGCTTCGTTAACACACGTGCTACAGACGACAGCGCACCACCTCCAGCACCGAGCAATCTGCAACGACGCCCGCGACACCATCGTCTACACCGACCGCTACATCCCAAGCCGAGCTACATCATCTTCTACATGGCTGCATCGACCGTCGCCGCCGATCTATATATACTGCACAGCTACACCGACGCCTCTGCACCGAGCCCAATCTCTGCATTGAGCTGTACGACTACGCCAGGCTACGAGCCAACATACTTCTTCAGCATGACACGGCGTCAACAATTCGTCGTCACGAGGGACACCTTCAAGCGACACATCGTCGACACGCCGCTGCGACGCTATAGCCGACACTTCATCGCCAAGGTCTTCATCAACATGGTCTTCACCAACATCTTCGTCAACACACCGCCGCCGCCTCGTCCACAAGATGGACACCTAGCGTTCTTTGACAGACTTTTCTGTAAGATGCGACCTCGACGACGGCAATGACCGCGTCACGACGACGGCATCGACCGCGTCATCCACGACGACATGACTGCATCGACACGGCGTCACTATAGTGACCACCCCTACCCGGCCACATGGTTCTGGCAAAACCGATGTGTGCTCGATGGGTTTCCTCCGGTCCTGGCAAAACTGATGGACTTATCGCCGACGGCAACCTCTGACATCTGCAAGGTGCATCATGCACGTCTGTAGCTCCGTCATAGCGCATTTTTTTTGCGCCTCCGGCTTTGTGCGGTTTCATCATTCATGATGACTACACCATCGACCACGACTACCTCGACCACGGCTACATCACCATGATCGGTTACCTCGACATCGACATTAACGACTTGGTCTACAGCAACACATCGGCAACAACTCCAGTCAACAGCGTCTGTGCCGTCACCAGCGTCCACGCCACTCCCGTTATGACTGCGGGAGGGAATAGGGGAGAGTCAAGAGAGGCACCAGAAGGGGACGCAGTCACCGCCCTAGGTGCCCATCAGAGACGCAGTTGATGATGGCGCAGCGGAGAAGATAGCGGAAGCGCAAGACTTCAAATTCAGTCGCCGCTTCACTCACGCTATGACTGAGGAGGGATGTTAGAAATACAAACATGTTAGTTAGGGATTAGGAGAGATAGAGATAGATTTGGTTTAAACCAACAATGACTTGCCTTGTACTCCAATCCTTTTCCCATGTTGTACTCCTATATATACCCCCATATGAGGGTCAGACCAATACACCAATACAATAATCATCCTACGTTTTCCATAGAATACACTAATATGTTAGGGATTAACAAAAACTTGCATGTCAAATCTTCATGTAAAGAAATTAAAGTACTCCCTCCATTCCTAAATATAAGTCTTTGCAAAGATTCCACTGTTGACCACATACGGATGTATATAGATGCATTTTAGAGTGTAGATTAATTCATTTTGTTCCGTATGTAGTCCATAGTGAAATCTCTATAAAGACTTATATTTAGGAACGGAGGAAGTATATGCTTACCTTCAGCAAGTACATTGGGACTAAATTCCATTGTTATATCAACAGGCTTAGCTTCAGCAAGTATGTTGTGACTGAATTTCATTGTTCTATCAGCTAACAGTTCTAATTCTAACATTACTAACCTCATTGTCCCGGCAAACTTTTCTGTCCGACCAGCAACTCTCGTCTTTGGGTTTACCCTGAGGCCAGTTGGGATCATAATGAACAGCAGCAGTGGATGACACCACCACAACCTTCTGAACCTTCAGAGATGAACAAACCTCAAGAATATTTAAGGTGCCCTTCACGGCAGGCACCATGACTTCTGACTGCATGGTTATATTTAGCACAACGTTAGTAACAGACCATCAAGAATCTGCAGTTTCCAAATTTTGGATCTCAACGAGATTTTACAGTGCTAGTAAGGGCCCGTTCGGGGATCCACCAGCTCCTCAAAATACACGGAGCTGGGGAGTACCGTTTCAGCCGCTCTGAATTTTCTAGCGTCAGCTCCGTCCGCTCCGGGAGCGGGGGCGCGGAGCGGAGGGCCTCCGAACAGCCCCTAAGGCAGTAACAACTTGTAATCGTCTCTGACAGCAGTGAGTCACTTTCCACTCTATTACTCTATTAAGTGAGCACACTTATTAAAATGCTGATCTAATAAGCTCCTACTCCACAACTGTTGGATACACTTATATCGACATCGACAGCAGTGCTAGATTCGCACCCAGAAATGAAAGAAAATGGCAAGTCAAAATCCAATTGCAAATATTTCTGACGGTACTGCTGCTATGAGAGAGACTCCATCTCCATGGTTGAACAACGAATAAATCATGGGAACTGTGTAATTTTTGTGAACCAAAAACACACGGTAAATTGGCCTCGGAACTAAGTGAAAATCGACAGATGTGTACTAGCCTCAGGATCGGCGATCTTATCCGCAGGGACGGGGGAGGCGACATGGAAGACGCCCTCGCACCCGTCGACGGCGGCCGCCAGCGCGGCGCTGTCCAGCACGTCGGCCTTGAACAAGCTCAGGCTCTCCGCCGCGCCGTCCAGCTGCATCAGATGCGCGTTCTTCTGGTCACCTGAAACGGCACCCCGGCATTAATCACCAACCAGCGAAGCAGGCAGCAACAGCAAGAAGGGAGGAGGAGCGGCCGGATCAGGCGCGCCGTGCATACATGGGTCGCGGACGGTGGCGTGGACGGCGTAGCCCCGGGAGAGGAGCAGCTTGACGAGCCATGAAGCGATGTACCCGCCGCCCCCGGTCACGCACACTCGCGGCGACGGCGACGGCGACGGTGGTGCCATCCTCCTCCTGGATGGCTCGCAGCTTGCTCGGCTTCAACAATTTCTCCACCCACTTGCCTGTAGACTCCACGGCGCTAATCGACGTTGCTACGAATATCAAGGGCACCTAAAAAGACGTTGGGAAGCAAAGTGACGCACATGTGGGATCAGGAGAAGTAAATTACTTAAAGCCACCACACATTTGTGACTAGGGTACTAGAAAACCGCCGTTTTTGTTGAAAACTACAAAAATCAATCAACACTGCGGCAAGTAAGTAACAAACCATATTAATTCAAAACCTACCGTGTCTAACAACGAAACTGACGGGTGAGACCTGTCTGTCTGTCGGACTGATGTGGCAAAGACTAGTGCTACTCAATGTATTGACCTGCTGAGGTGGATGGGGTCACGCCTATCAGCCATACATTTTATTTCCCCTCTCCTTCTTCTTTCTTTTCTCTAATTTTCAAAAATTTAAATAATGTCAAACATCAAAAGTTTTCAAACATTAAAACAAAAATGTTTGGTTTGTGCCAAATATGGCACATGTAATTATAGTAAAGAAAACACATTTTTAGAAAATGCTAAAATGCTCTAAAAATAAATAAAATGAAAAATGAAAAAAATAAAAGAAAATAAAATACAAAATCAGAAAAAATAACAAAAAAAGATAGAGAGAAAAACCCTCTAATGCCCTGGGCCAACCGGCCAGCTGCAGCCCAATTGGCCCATCCGCCCACCCCACTCCCCTTATCCTCCCACCCGGACAAACCCTAACCCCCACGCACCCACTTTCTCCCCCACGTCGCCCCTTCCCCTCTACCCCGATTCAATCTGGATCGGGGTCCGACGTGCCCCCACCACTCGACGTCGTCGTCGGAGACCACCACGTCGGAGCCGCTCCTCGCCACAGTCGCTCGCCTTCCCTTCGTCCCTGTCCTCCTCCCAAACGACCTCCACGCGCCTGACGCCGCCATCCTCGCCGTCGTCGCCCGTCGTCACCGCCACCTCGCCGGACTGCCTCCCTTACGTTGCCGGCGTCCCCGTCTTCCTCCTCGCGCCCCACTGCCCCGTCCCTATGAACCCCGGTGAGGACCCCGGTCCTCCTCTCTTCCTCGCCCTGCGACCATCGCCGGGCCACCACGCTCGCCTGCCGCGCTCCCGTCGCGCCCATCATTGCTCCGCTCCGGCCGCGACCACGCCTCGCGCGCTTCGGCCCCGCGCCCACCGCTGTCGGGCCGCGCCCTGGCCACGTGTCGTCCGGCCGTGACCGTCGCCCCGCGGTCACCGCGCCACTGCCACCCGCACCTCGCGTCCACGGCCACCTGCACATGCCTCGCCCGTCTGCTCCTGCTCCCGCCGCCTCTGCTCGCCCCGCCGCCCGCCTATGCTCGCCCAGCCACAACCCCGCCTCCACCGCTGCTTGCCGCCGCCTCCCTGCCGCCGGTGCCGCCCCGGTTGACCTCGCTCCGCCGCCTGAACCCTGGCCGCGCCAGGGGCTAGCCCCGCACGGCTCTGCCGTTCCGACTATCTCCACTATAGAATGAAAAAAAGAGGGAATCAAATTTTCTAGTAAATACTAGAAAAAAATGGCTTTCTACATAGGGATTGGGCGACGACCCGCGCCCGTTGCGCCCGAACCCGCCAAGGCCCCTAGGGCCAATGACATGTGGGGCCCACGGCCCTAGAACATTTGTTAAAAAATTAATTAATTAAATAATAATTAAATTAATTAATTAATTAACATTGTTTAGTTAACTAAATAACTCTAATTAACCCGCTAGTTAAATGTTAACAAATAGTTAGTCTTCAGCCTATGACATGTGGGACCCACACGTCAGTTTGACCAGTCAACACCTCTGTTGACTCCTGACGTCATGCTGATATCAGCAATCACTATTCTGGTTAATGTTGAATTAAAATAATTAAATAAATTCTAAAAATGATTAAATCTTTTAAAATTAATATAAAATCAACCGTAGCTCGGATGAAAAAACTTTGTACATGAAAGTTGCCCAGAACGACGAGATGAATCCGGATACGCGTCCCGTTCATCCGCCACACATCTCTAGCATAGAGAACACGCAACTTTCCCCCTCTGGTTCATCTGTCCGAAGACACGAAACACCGGTGATATTTTCCCGGTTGTTTTCCCCCTTCGCCAGTATCACCTCCTACTGCGTAAGGAAACACCTAACACCGTTACTTGTCATGTCATGCATCGATATGCATCTGTTTGCATTGTATTCATTGTTTTTCCCCTCTTCTCTCCGGTAGACTACGAGACTGACGCCGCTACTGGTGCCCTGACCGACTACGTTGTTGACGACCCCTACTTGCCAGAGCAACCAGGCAAGCCCCCCCCCTTGATCACCAGATATCGCCTATTCTTCTCTCTGCTACTTGCATTGGAGTAGTGTACCATGTTACTACTTTCCGTTAATCCTATTCTGCCGCATAGCCTGTTCTTGCTACTACTATCGTTACCTTACCTGCAATCCTAAATGCTTAGTGTAGGATGCTAGTATTCCATCAGTGGCCCTACATTCTTGTCCGTCTGTCATGCTATATTATCGGGCCGTGATCACTCGGGAGGTGATCACGGGTATATACTTATATACATATTATATGATACTTGTGGTAACTAAAGTCGGGTCGGCTCGTACAGTACCCGCGAGTGATTCACGGATTGGGACCGAAAGGACGTTTGTCCTGATGGCCCTCTGAGTGAACCCTTGTGGCGGAGCGATAGGGTAGGTCGAGACCACCTAGGAGAGAGGTGGACCTGGCCCTGGTCGGCGTCCGTGGTTAATTCAATTAACACGCTTAACGAGATCTGGATATTTGATCTAAGTCTGGCCACTGGCCTATACGCACTAACCAACTACGCGGGAACAGTTATGGGCACTCGATGTCATGGTATCAGCCGAAGCCTTCATGACGTCAGCGACTGAGCGGCGCGCGCCGGATTGGACTGGAACGCCTGCTCTTGTATTAGGGAGGCTAGATCTTCTTCCTGCCGCTCTCGCAACGTGCAGGTGTGCAATGGGCTATGGGCCCAGACCCCTGCGCCATAGGATTTAGACCGGCGTGCTGACCTCTTTGCTATGCCTAGGTGGGGCTGCGACGTGTCGATCTTCCGAGGCCGGGCATGACCCAGGAAAGTGTGTCCGAACAAAGGGGATCGAGCGTGTTGGGAAATGTGGTGCACCCCTGCAGGAAAGTTTATCTATTCGAATAGCCGTGTCCCTCGGTAAAAGGACGACCCGGAGTTGTACCTTGACCTTATGACAACTAGAACCGTATACTCAATAAAATACTCCCTTCCAAGTGCCAGATACAACCCGGTGGTCACTCTCTCACAGGGCGACGAGGAGAGGATCGCCGGGTAGGATTATGTTATGCGATGATACTTGGTGAACTTACCATCTACTCTCTTCTACTGCTTCAAGATGGAGGCTGCCAGAAGCGTAGTCTTCGACATGACTATCTATCCCCCTCTTATTCCGGCATTCTGCAGTTCAGTCCACATATGCTACCCCTTTTCCATTTGATACCAATGCATACATATGTAGTGTAGCTCCTTGCTTGCGAGTACTTTGGATGAGTACTCACGGTTGCTTTGCTTCCCTCTTTTCCCCCTTTTCGATACCCGATTGTTGCGACCAGACGATGGAGTCCAGGAGCTAGACGCCACCGTCGACGACGACTCCTACTACACTGGAGGTGCCTACTACTACATGCAGGCCGTTGACAACGACCAGGAGTAGTTAGGGGGATCCCAGGCAGGAGGCCTGCGCCTCTTTCGATATGTATCCCAATTTGTGCTAGCCTTCTTAAGGCAAACTTGTTTAACTTATGTCTGTACTCAGATATTGTTGCTTTCGCTGACTCGTCTATGATCGAGCTCTTGTATTCGAGCCCTCGAGGCCCCTGGCTTGTAATATGATGCTTGTATGACTTATTTTTTTTAGAGTTGTGTTGTGATATCTTCCCGTGAGTCCCTCATCTTGATCGTACATGTTTACGTGTATGATTAGTGTACGATTGAATCGGGGGCGTCACAAGTTGGTATTAGAGCCGACTGCCTATAGGAATCCCCCTTCCACACTCCTTGGCCGAAGTTGAGTCTAGACATTGCAAAACTTTTTACTAACATGGTTGTGTGTCTTACGGGCCCACATCGCCATTTGGGTGGTATTAGGATCTTTAACTCCTCAATCTTCACTCTGGGACTCTGAACTCTCTTCTACTCGGGTCAAACGAATTTAGTAACTCTAACATTAGGATCCCGTGACCATAATCACCCCAAAGTTGGATAAGCCCTAGTTATTCCTTAGAGTAGTATTTTGAACAATATCCACTATGTCATTTGACTCCTTTGAAACATCTTTGTTTTCAGATGGAACCCACGAGGCAGGTCGTGCACCACACAATGGCAATTGGTGTCTCAGGATCACCTATTGTGTTAGCTGAGATGATGACCTATCTGGGTTATCGCTGGCACCCTGAGTACACTGTGTACGAGCAGTACCAGGACTTTAACAAGGAGCAGTACCGTGCCATCGTCCACCTCTACTCTCGGGGGTATAACTCCACTACCGTGCTGCACAGTGCTCATGGTGTTGGAGTGACTATCGATATGGTAGTACGTGATGCTGCTTATGCTGCTTTGACATGTCTTCGTGGAGAGTATCGGCAGTTGGACACCTCCCCTTTCAGGCACATTGCTATCGCATCCGATGTTGGTGCGGAGGGATACTACACTGCTGCCTACTCCACTCTCACCCGAGAGCCCTTCTACCATCAGAACCTGGTTCTGCATGCTGATGGGCTGGATAGAGCTAACCGAGCTCTTCGCCACGAGTTGTACACCACCCGTCAGCACCTTTACCGTGCTCTGATGCTGTTGCAACCCTTTGTCCGATCTGGTGATCTATCGCGTTCTGTGATCTACCCTGCCAGGACCGTGATGCCCCAGGGTGTCGGCTGGCCAAATGTGGGAGGCTACTCTCCCGCA